AATTCCGTACCGGAATTACTTACTTATGCGAGAGGATAATCTTCAGTGACAACACCATGCGTGAGCGTGAGGGCGAAAAGTAATCCCGCTACGGAATTCCGGGAATTGAGTCGAGACGGAATTACCCGGAATCGGACGGACTTCCGTCCGATTCCGGATTTCCAGGAATTGCCTGGAGATGGAATCCCCACCAATTCAGGAGTTGGAAGCAATTGCAGGAATTCCGGAATCGGATGGAATTCCTAGGAATTTCCCGAAATTCCGTCCGATTCCGGAATCGCTGGTAATTCGGGGTAATTCCGTCTGAACTTAGTTCTGGGAATTACGGAAATTTGTTGGAACTCGGCCAGTGACGAGTCGATGTGTTAGATTGAATGATGATCGAGTTCCCAGAATTAGATGGAACTGGTTCCGGGGGCGAAATTGATTCCGCAATGTTCAATATCGCGGAATCGGATGTATTCTCCAAACCCAATGGGAACAAACTGACTTCATGATTTCAGTGATTTCGCGTGAATTCCAATGATTTCGTATCACAGAGGAACAAGCTGATTTCAAGATTTTCAGAATTCACAAGATGGGTGTAGACGTGAATCTTCTCTTTACCTACACTCACACCCTGTTGCATGATGTCATTTATGAGGCTAAAAATGTGTTCATTCTGAAAAGGCCTTTAAAAACATTTTTCTGATACGTATGATTGTTTTTCATTTCGTGTTTCGTTACAATGACGAGACAAGAGAGATTGCCAGTAAAAAGGAGTCTTGCAGATTCATCCTGCGATTTTTTTATATAACACTAATTTCGATGGTTCACAGCGATAAACAATGGTAAACGTCCGCGTTTCCGATCCTATCCACCTAAGGACGACACTTTTGCGCGACAGGTTTCCGTGAATACAATAGGTGTATTCCGCTGTATACTTCACGGCATTGTACGGCGGTAATACGATGCCTAGCAAACGCGTGGAAACGGTCGGTTTACAGTCCTAATTTCAGCGTTTGTGGGCGTTTATAGTAATGTAAACGATCGTTCACCGTCATCATAACTATCGACCTCGACAGTAGTGGCTTTTTTGATCTGGAGCTTCAAACAAGAATACTTTTCTTTTTACGAGAAAAATACTTTGTCTGATTTACAAGACTAGAAAGACTTCAGATTGACTGAGCAAGAAGAAAAGCTTGTTAGCGCAACCGTTTTATGGTTGCAATGTGAAACTTACATCTTTTCTGTATTTTCATTATACTAAAAACAAAAGCTGTTAGTGCAATCCCTTGCGGGATTAAAAATGTGAAACACGATGGATCGAGTGTTACCAATTAAATGAAAATCCTTTTGTTCCACTTCTTTGCGACCCATTGGTACCTAACCGTTTATCTCATGCTTTACAACTACAGTTTCTCTGTCACGGCCTTTAATGAGTAGGAAGATTCTCTGTGACAGTCTGTAATGGGCACCGGAGATTCTCTGTCACGGTCTAGGATGGGTATGAAACTTCTCTGTCACTGTTTGTGGGGGAGGGAGGGGGGCGGGGGGGGGGGGGGGGTGCAAAATTTCTACCCTGTACATCTCAACACCCCTTTCAGATCGTGCTTCACAAAATATACAATTTTCCAATTCTCTAACAGACCATCGTTCTTTTCTCACGATAATCGATTTTCAGCAAATGGTGTCAATTTTTGCTGCAGTTGCTGTGGTCTGTAACGGGATGGGAGTGTCTTCGATGAGGACTCACGTTGCTATGTATCTGCGATGAGAATGGAGAGGGGATCCGTAAACACTTGAAGTTAATACTTGCACTCACAATTTTCTTCGAAAATATATGTGAGTTCTACAAAACAAGAATAGGGGAACAGAAGACCCAAGAATATCCATATCGCGGAATACAATGTGAACTTGTCGAAGCAATTGGTATCATGCACACCACAATTAACTTGTGACATTTTTCGCAGAATGATATTATTTTATTTAGAATATAAGGGAAAGATCAGAGACTGGTTTGTGTGCAAACAATCAATCAAATTAGAAAAAAAAAGAAAAGTTTTATAATGTTCTTTCCTAGTCAGTGATGCAAGCATAAATCCAACACGGTAAACTAAATCCTCCCGTAAGTAAACAAATGAGGCAACATATACCATGATTGGTGCCTCTTCGTTGCACAATAACTGTCTGTTGTGGTTGTTGCTGTTGCTGTTGTTGTTGTTGCTGTTGTTGTTGCATGATAATAATCGGAGCTCCTCCTCCATATTGAGGAGCACCATATGGCGGAGCACCATACGGTGGAGCACCAGTATAAGGAGGAGCACCAGTAGAAGGAGGAGCACCTTGATACGCTGGTGGTGCTTCAGTAGTAGCCATTTCTCAACAAAGATGTTAAAATAATAGGTTAAAAACTATGTGCTCCTAGTAGATGTCTCAGACAGAAATGCAAGCAACGTTTGTGCACATTATTATTATTTCAATGTTTTTCGTTTCTTCTTAACCAACCGAGTTTCCATGGATTCTTTCGTCAGAAAAAGTTCTCTGCTTTACGAAACACAAATAAAAACATAAAAGAACGATAAATTTTTGTTTGAAAGAGTCCATGACGTATGTGATTTACAAAGTTATTCAAAACAGCATTAGTTGCAAAATAATTCGAAGAAAATGATTAAACTACAGGGTCTATCAGGGACTACAAGGGTCTGCAGAGTGTACCAGGATCTGCATGGTCTACTAGAGTTTTCTGCTACCCACATCGAGAGAGGTGTGATGAGAGTCGTTTCTAGGGGTAGCAACTTACCGTTCCCAGAGAGTTATGTTCCCGGGTAACGGCCAGGTAAGTGTCTTCCGTCATCAACCCGGTATCCTTGGGTCCTTAAGTCCTACTATAGAGGGGGTACCCTTATGTCCTCAAGTCCTACAATAGGGGATACCCTTGCGGTCTCAAGTCCTACTATAGCGGGAGGGGTGAGAGGTACCCTTAGATCCTCAAGTCCTACTATAAGGGACTACCCTTGGGATTCCGGAACTTCGCCAATAAGACTTTCGCCAAATAGGACTCTCGCCAATGGCGAAGGTCCACTGTACTTTCGCCAGTACAGCTTCTGGACTTTCGCCGACATACCCTTTGAAATTTTGCCAATTGGTGGAAGTACAGTGGACATTCGCCAATTTGACTGCAAACTAGATATGGATTCGAAAATTTCTGTCGGCTATATTGATGAGTGTAAGCTATGATAAACATTCTAACAACATTAGCTCCAGCTAGAGCCCGTTGGACCTAGTGGAACCCGAACCCAACCGGTTGCGGGTCTGAAAGCTTTGTAATCACTGAGTTCGTGTCCGGGTTCGAAAAATTTTACTGATCGGATCGAGATCCAAAGAAATATCTCATGTATATAATAATCTTTTTGGAATTTCTTTCAATTTTTCTCTTAAAAGATCCATCAATCGAGTTCGGCTCCAGAAATTCTTGAATTTGACAGACTGTAGCTTCAACTCTTACATGCACCCTGTATTAATATTATTTCATGACAGTTCGGGAAAGTTTACTGTACTTTCGTCAATTGGCGAAAGTCCACTACACTTTCGCCAATACATTCCCTGGAATTTCGCCAATTGGCGAAAGTACAGTAGAATTTCGCCAATATATCCCTGGACTTTCGCCATTGGCGAATGTCCTATTGGCGAAAATCTTATTGACGAACTTCCGATAACCCGACTCAGAATACTCAAAAATATCACCTACTACTCCGCAGTGGTCACGAACAGTCCTAATTTTTGAGTATTTTGACGCTAATGCCATTATTTATTGAGCGAATTTGAATATTTTTTTTACCAAAATGATCAGCAAAACGAGCTCTACAAAGTTCTATAGACGAAAAAGCATTCTGAAAACCTTGTATTTTTCGTGGTTGACCATTAATGAAAATATCTATCAAAAATACGTGTTGCGTTAATTTTGTCCGTGGTAGTTTATGAAAATGATTTGTGAGAAAATAATGATTTTTTATTAAGGTTGACAATAGCAGAGCGGGATCTGGGAATCCGAATCTGAAGTCAGATTTAAAAAACTTTGAAGTCAATTGTTTGGGTTAAGGGAAGGGTTTTTTGAGAAGATAACAATTTCCTATAAAGGTTGAAGAAAGCAAATCGGGGGCGGAGAATCCGAACCTGCGGGTGTGGGTGTAGATGTGACAAAGAGATGTAAATATCCACACCTCCACCCACACTCTTTATTGAAAAATGACTACTTTGAGACGGGTTATTGTTTTGATTGTTGTTTTTGAGATACTGTTTTTTTCCTAAATATGCATATATCTAGTAATGAAATGTATAATTACATATGTATGGGTAATGTGTATAAATTGAGACTTATATATATGCAGTTCAATTCAGAGAAAGATGGAACTTTTTTTTTGTTTAAGCAACATTTCGATGTTTATAAAATACAGCAAAAATCATCGCAAGAGTTATTTTTGAGGAATCTAATTAGCAAGGCCTACAATAAGAAACATTTTTTATTTAAGTTGATTCTGTTATGTTTTTATTTTTTTTATTCTTTTTTTCATTTAACATGTTACATAAATCGTCTGTTTCGAAATGAATTCTTGTTTCATATGGTTATCTATGGTATGTTCCTATAAAATATTTGTCCTCAAAGAAAGTTGTTTGGTATTGAGAACCAATACAATGTCAAAGAAAAATTCATTTCATAGCATATGAGTGATCCAACATAATAAATAGAATAAACAAAATAAGAATGTAATAAAATCAAATTCGATGAAAAAATATTTCATATTGCAGCTCTTCACCTTTGGATCCTTCAAAATAAGTCCGACGATGGTAGTTGCTCTATTCTATAAACATTGACATATTCCGTAAACAAAAAACTCTTCCATCTTTCTGCAATTAGCTGTAGATAAAATTCTCGATTTCTATGCATCTATTCATTTTCACTTTTGATATATTTCTCTGATGATCTGTGACTTCATAAGAAAAGTTATTAAAACAATCCATGGAAATTTAAAATGCGAAGCACAACGCATGATGCTTTTGCTAATCACATGGAAATGCTTGCATTCTACCTATTGTGCAGAACATGTCTTCACCATGCTTTTCTTTAATTCGCCAGAACTAGAATCAGGAAGAAGTTCATATCTTCCGATAAGGCGTTGTTGATGTATGGTCTTTAATCATGCATCAGCAATATCTTGAACAATAAGTGACGAAGTCCCATACTGTCTTTCAAAGTCTCTGACTGAGTCCCAGGATGCCTGTTATGGTCTGTGGGGAACGGGAGAGCGCTGAGTGAGCCTAAGTTTCCACTGTACATACTTCAATCCAGATCCATTATTACAATTCCGTGAATTTTCGGCGTGAATCTGCAGAACAAAATGCCATTTTTTGTCGGAAAACTCGAGAAATAGTAGAAACTTGAAAGCAGAGATCTGGTGACCGAATTCGGTCGCCTGATTTTCTGTGTTCGATCACAAACGGCTGTAACTTGGTAAAGTTGGCCACTGTATATGCTCATTGTATTCCTGATTCCAAGCTTCTACCATTTTCCAGAGTTTTCAGCATGACAAGGTCTACATTGCTCACCTAGAAAACACTCCTTTAACATCGTATTTTGTAGAAGCAGCAGGGTACTTTGATGAGCAGGCTCTTTCTGAAATTTTTAATTTTATACCTGACACATAGAACGAGAGAAGAGATCGATGAAACTGAACAAAACTAATAAGACGAGCGGACGGTGTCCGAGAACTCGATTTCTACATGTATGCCTTTTATGGGCAATCCCTAAGAATCTAGTGAACATTTACATTCATACGTATATAGTACCTGTCATGGAAAACAAAATAGGATACAATATAAGTTTTGGCAAGATACAATTTTTCAAAACCATATGGTTCAATTGTAAACGCTTTCAATCATAGCGATACTGGAATAGCAATCAACATATTGAAATCGATAATTATTGTGCGTTTACATCAGTAATCTAGAGTTCACCATATTTGCATAGAACAAAATGCGATCGCACCTGAGTAATGTCTTTGAAATGACTTTATTAATGTATACATCTCTCCTTATGCTTCTCTGGTGTCATTGATAAATGAGACTTTCAACACTATATAGTTCATTCTTCATAACAATTGAATGATCTGTTAGTCCTTCATTTTGCACACAGGAAGGGCACATAAAATCGCTTCCCTATTGATACGAAACGTGATACTATGTGCAAAGATAATTTGTCGAAAACATTTTTCTATAAAAGCTCTTCATTAAGGTAGATTTTTACATAGAAATTTACGCCAGTTTATACATTTCATTAAGTACCACTGTATTCCAAAGTAGAGTTGTAACCGATTATGGTAAACGACCGATGCGGTCCAGTTTGCTCAGGTATAGTCAGTTTATCCATTACCGGACCGAGTGAATGTTTTGGTTTTTACATCCGTTTTCAAAAAAACAAATTTACCAGTGGTTTTTGCAGAAATCAAAAGCTCTTTTACTAATGTCAAAGACTTTCGGTGAAGAAATATGCATTTGACGATTCTAATAGGTCAAAATTCGTCATAGAATCTTTATGATATTTTCTCAACTCATTTCGGTATGCCATTATGTTACTAATAAAATCGAATAATTGTTTAGCATTGTAGTTTTTCATAGATTTATTTTGTATTTTCTATTATTCATAGCATATATTTGTTACAGTCATAAAAAGTAACAAACAGAATACACAGTGGGAGGTAGACGGAGTATACAGTTAATAAATAGTGTCGATGTCTGAAGACTAGATAAACAAAGCACAAAATCCTTATAGAATTGGCAATCATATGAAGTTTTCTGTTTACAAATATATACGAGAGGTTCAAACAGATCATCGGGCCAACCTATTCTGGACAGGCAGAGACTTTGAATTTCGAGCCTGTCAAAGGTCAGGCCGACCGCTTAAAATAAACAGATCACCTATCGCTCATCTTTTTTTTGTAAGTTTTCTACAAAAAAACTTCACTTTTTCAGAAGAAAATATAGGTATGGAAACAAAAAAATGGATAATCTTTCCTCTAGAAGATGAGAAATGGTTTCTTATCAATGTGACTCAACACAATCATAACTATTAATACATTGTGACTACATTGTTCGTCATTCATTTATTTATTTAGTTTATTTATCCATTTCAAAAAGTTACTGCTCTTGACTTTTAATTGATTACTATTAAAACTTTATATACAGCGTTCCGAAGACTTATGTTCCTCATTCCTATTTACTGTCGTGCTATCGTCAGACCTAATATGTTCTGTTCAACTAGTTGATCAAATTCATTCTACAGATTTTTACTCAAAAACAGAATTTTTTCTCAGTGTTAATAT